AATTAAATATTTATGAATTAAATATTATTAAATTAAATATTATTAAATTAAATATTTTTTGAAATTAAATATTTTTGAATTAAATATTATTAAATTAAATATTTTTTGAAATTAAATATTTTTGAATTAAATATTATGAAATTAAATATTTTGAATTAAATATTTTTGAATTAAATATTTTTGAATTAAATATTATTAAATTAAATATTTTTAAATTAAATATTATTAAATTAAATATTTTTAAATTAAATATTATTAAATTAAATATTTTTGAATTAAATATTTTTGAATTAAATATTTTATGAATTAAATTTTTGATTTGAATTTTTCCAGAATTGTATTGCTTTATCGTTTCTTTTATCAGAAATTACAACAACTGATCTTGATTTTGTTTCTGTTGCAAAATGGCCAATTGAATCACAAAGATCTCAAAAATTTCTTGATTTATTGAAACAAACAGACTTTACTGGACCATTTTGTACTGAGACAGATATTGAGAAAGTAAAAATAATAATAAAAAATAATAAAAAATAATAATAAAAAATAATAAAATACACTTTAATATCATTTATTATCTCCTTAAAGCCAAATGAAGCTGAACTTGTCAAGTTAGTTTCTAATTTATTTCTTTGGAGTCCAGCAGTCAAAAACAAACCAACAAAAAAACAAGCTCAAAAAACAACAACAACATCCACACCAAATGTCTTTTCATCAAACGTTCAAAAAATACTTTCAAAAACAAAAACCACATCAACAATGTCAATTTTAGAAAAATTAAAAATGAACAAACAAGCAGCACAAAACACATCGAATAAAACAACAAACATGACAACTTCAGTCAACACGACATCGAATGCAAAAACGAACCCGAAACCCAATCCAGTATTGAATAGCAAATCAAACGATACAAATTCTGTTCAAAATCAACAAACGGTTGAAAATCAAGCACTTCCACAAAAAACGGTGTTGAATCCCTTTAGTAAATATAGGAAAAATCCCGTTCTCTCAACTTCCACAACATCCTATACTTCATCTACTACACAAAATAAAGCGGTTGAGAATCCACAAACACAAACAACTGAACCCAAAAAAGATATCAATGAAATCATTGCAAAAATCAAGAGACAACAATCCCAACCAAGTATATCTTTCCAGTCTCCTCCCAAAGAGCAGCCCAGTAACATTGTTGCTAAACCTATTCCTCACACACAATCTTTGAGTAAATTTACTGCTCCTCAACCTGAACAAAAACAGCAAGTCGAAAATGAAGAATCAAAATCAAACACTGGGAATTTTCGAGTTAAAAAAGCTGAAGATCAATTAAAGAAACTTGAAGAAGATCTTGTTAAGAAAACCAACGATTTGGAATCTACCCAATCTATGGTTGATGAAGAAAAACAAAAAATTGAGGATTTGAAGTCAAAATTGGTTTCAATTGAGAAAAAACTCCAATCAACTAAGAATCTTAAAGAAAATGTTAACGAAAAGAAGGATAATAAAGAAACTGATGAGAAGCGGCCAATTGTGTTTTTGATGAGCGAAAATATTGATGTTGAAAAAGCACAAATACTTATTAATTTTGCAAATTACAATATGGAAATTATTAAGCAATCAGAAACACTATGGAATCAAATTAGCTCAAATTTTTCAATAATGAATACAATTCTTAATAAATTTTCACTACCTTTTGATTTAATGAATATTTCTCAAGAAATCAATTCAATTAAACAAAGACGAGCAAATGTAAACAAAATACAAAACAATTTTAAATAAATATCAATTTTAAATAAATATCAATTTTAAATAAATAACTATCAATTTTAAATAAATAAATATCTATTTTAAATAAATAAATATCTATTTTAAATAAATATCAATTTTAAATAAATATCAAATAAATAAATATCAATTTTAAATAAATTTTAAATAAATATAAAATTATCTAAAAAATTTAGGAAGATATCATTTCAAGTATTCCTCATCTTTTGAACGCAATTCAAAAAGTTGTTTCATTTTATGGACTTAATTTGGTCAAAAAATCATTTCTCGATCCAATCAAAAAAGAAATATCTTTAGGATTTGATCGCCTTGTTTTTATAGAATATGAATTATTTCAACACATTGTCGAAGAAAATCACATTAGTTTCGATGAAGAATTTGAATTTATAACTTCAGTTAGAATTCTTTTTGTGATTTTTATGTTCAATTTTAATTTTAATAAGTTTTTAGCGCATCATATTGTTTTACTTCTTAAAGAAAATGCTTTATTAAAAGATGGTGTTTCAAGTATAATCAATAAATTAATAAATTAATAAATTAATAAATTATTTAATAAATAAATTAATAAATTAATAAATAAATTAATAAATAATTTAATAAATAAATTAATAAAATATGATTTGTAGGGGAAGAGTGTGGAATAATTGAACAACAACTTTTCCGTTGTTTTGATAATATTTTGAATATAAAAGTATTGTGGAATAGAATCCCTGCCTTTCTTTCATCACTTTTCTCGACTTTAGGCTTGACTGATCCTGATAAGGTAAAAATATATATAAAAATATATATATAATAAAATATATATAAAAATATTTATAAAAAATATATATATAATATTTATAAAATATTTATAATAAAATATATAAAAATATTTATAAAAAAATATATAAAAATATTTATAATAAAATATATAAAAATATTTATAAAATATTTATAATAAAATATATAAAAATATTTATAAAATATTTATAAAAATATTTATAAAATATTTATAAAAATATTTATAATAAAATATATAAAAAATATATAAAAATATTTATAAAATATTTATAATAAAATATAAAATATTTATAAAATATTTATAATAAAATATATAAAAAATATAAATAAAAAAAATATAAAAAAAAATAAAATATAAAAAAATATAAAATATTTATAATATATAAAAAAATATATAATATTTATAATAAAATATAAAAATATTTATAATAAAATATATAAAAATATTTATATAAATATATATAATAAAATATATAAAAATATTTATAATAAAATATATAAAAATATATATAATAAAATATATAAAAATATATATAAAAATATTTAAAAATATTTATAATAAAATATTTATAAAAATATTTATAATAAAATATATAAAAATATTTATAATAAAATATAAAAATATTTATAAAATATTTATAATAAAATATAAAAATATTTTCATTAGACTGCTCACCAAATACTATTCAAGATCCAAAATGAACTCCTTGAAACCATGAAAACTCAACCAATCAACAACAAAAACTTTCATCCAAGAGAAATTCGAGAAATGATTGCAAATAAAACACAACCAAATACCCCACAAGAAAACCTACTTGACGAGAATGTTTTTGAAAAAATCTTTAACGGAGAATCAGAACAAGAACAAATACCAATTAAAATCAAAGAGCAAATCCCACTCAGGAAAAGAGAATCAATTAGCCCATTACTTTTATATCGCTTGTTTGAACCATCATTCCTTTCATCTAATTCAAATGAAATTCCAAATATAAATATAAATACAAATACAAATATAAATACAACACAAGATCCAAAAATTATCGCGGAAATAATGTCAAGTATTCAAGAATATTTGTTTGATTTCATGGATGACTATTTAAGCGAAATGGGAATTATGAGACTCGAAAGAATTTACAAAGATTTAAACAGAAATCTTTCTCATGTTCGTGATTTAAAAACTTTATTCCATGAAACAAATTCACAACTTAAATCAAAACAATCCAAATACATGATGTCTCAGTTCATTCAAGAAAGTAAAGAAAACAAAGAAAACAAAGAAAACAAAGAAAAAGAAAACAAAGAAAAAGAAAATCAAGAAAAAACCGACAAAAAGCCAATTCATATAATAACATCTACACAAGAACTTGAAGTGGTCTCAAATCAAAACCAGAAACAAGAAAGCCAGTACAAACAAGAAAGTCCATATCAAAATAAATCCAAAAAGACAGACTCAACTCAAATGAAACAAGTCTATCGAAATTCAAAAGAACAGCAAATTGAAAAACAATCTAAAAGAGTGTCTCCACTTTCGCCAAGACTTTCTTCTCAAAAAAATTTATCCAAATCACCCACTCCAATCAAAATGCAAAACTCAAATCAATCAAGTGATCAAAAACCAAAGATGATGATTCAACATTTGGATTTTGAGTTTATTAGAGATCATTTTGAGGAAAATTATCCCTCTCTTTTTAATACTCCAAATATCAAACAAGGACTTCTAAATTGGAAGACAAGCAACAAAAAAAGTTTCAAAAAGAAGTTTATTCAACTCAAAGAAAAGTTTCTGTTGATTTACAAGGACCAACCTTCAAGTCCTGTTGATTTTCCTGAAGAATGGATTTATTTAGATTCAAGTATCAGAATTAGTTTGGATTCAACAAAATCTAAAAAGGGTGGTTCTTTTTCAATTAAACAAAGTAAAAATGTTTATTCCATTAGTTCTGATTCAAAAACAGATTTGGATAATTGGATGGTATTAATTAGAAAAGCAACAAAGAATTAATTTTTAAATTGGTTTTTAAATTGGTTTTTAAAATTGGTTTTTAAAATTGATTTTTAAATTGATTTTTAAAATTGATTTTTGAATTGATTTTTAAAATTGATTTTTGAATTGATTAAATTGATTTTTAATTTTTTTTTTAAATTTTTTTAAATTGATTTTTGAATTTTGCTTTTTTTATTTTTTTTTTTTTGAATTTTTTTAAATTTTTTTAAATTGGTTTTTAAAATTGATTTTTAAATTGGTTTTAAATTGGTTTTTGAAGGAAATAATAAAAATTTAGCTTTTCATTTTTCTTTTCTTTTAATTTAAATTCTAAATTAAATTAAAAATAATTAATTTAAATTAAATCTAAATTAAATTAAAAAATACAATTAAATCTAAATTAAATTAAAAAATAATTAATTTTAAATTAAATTAAAAATTAAATTAAAAAAAAAAACGACGCGAGCAGGATTTGAACCTGCGCTCCCAAAGGGAAGTAGATTTCAAGAAATAAAAATTTTTTAATTAATTTTTTCGAGTCTACCGCCTTAACCACTCGGCCATCGCGTCTTTTATTTAAATAAATTTATATTTAAAATTTTTTAATTTAAATTTTTTAAAAATATATATATTTATATTAATATTTTTAATTTTAAAATATAAATAAAAATCGGATAAAAAATATTTAATAATTAAATATAATTATTTAATATTATAATATTAAATATTTAATCATTAAATTTATATAAATAAATTTATATTTAAAATTTTTAAATTTAAATTTTTTAAAAATATATTTATTTATATTAATTATTTTAAAATTTTAAAATATAAATAAAAATCGGATAAAAAATATTTAATAATAAAATATAAATATTTAATATTATAATATTAACTATTTAATAATTAAATTTATTTAAATAAATTTATATTTAAAATTTTTAATTTAAATTTTTAAAAATATATTTATTTATATTAATTATTTTAAAAATTTTAAAAATATAAATAAAAATCGGATAAAAATATTTAATAATAAAATATAAATATTTAATATTATAATATTAATTATTTAATAATTAAATTTATTTTAAATAAATTTATATTTAAAAATTTTTAATTTATCTTTAAATTTTTTAAAAATATATTTATTTATATAAATAAAGAAATTTTTTTAAATTTTAAAAATATAAATAAAAATCGGATAAAAATATTTAATAATAAAAATATAAATATTTAATATTATAATATTAATTATTTAATAATTAAATCTTTTTTAAATAAATTTATATTTAAAATTTTTAATTTAAATTTTTAAAAATATATTTATTTATATTAATTATTTTTAAAATTAAAATATAAAATAAAAATCGGATAAAAATATTTAATAATAAAATATAAAATATTTAATATTATAATATTAACCATTTAATAATTAAATTTTTTATAAATAAATTTATATTTAAAATTTTTAATTTAAATTTTTAAAAATATATTTATTTATATTAATTATTTTAAATTTAAAAATATAAATAAAAATCGGATAAAAATATTTAATAATAAAATATAAAAATATTAAATATTATATTATAATATTTAATAATTTAAATTTTTAAAAATATTTTATTTAATTAATTAAATTTTTTTAAAATATAAATAAATTTATATTTAAAATTTTTAATTTAAATTTTTAAAAATATATTTATTTATATAAATAATTAAAAATTAAAAATATAAATAAAAATCGGATAAAAATATTTAATAATAAAATATAATTATTTAATATTATAATATTAATTAAATTTAATATTTAAAAATTTTTATTTAAATAAATTTTTATATTTAAAATTTTTAATTTAAATTTTTAAAAATATATTTATTTATATTATTAATTATTTTAATAAATTTTTTAAAAATATAAAAAAAAATAAAAATCGGATAAAAATATTTAATAATAAAATATAAATATTTAATATTATAATATTAACCACTCGGCCATCGCGTCTTTTATTTAAATAAATTTATATTTAAAATTTTTTAATTTAAATTTTTTAAAAATATATTTATTTATATTAATTATTTTAAATTAAAAATATAAATAAAAATCGGATAAAAATATTTAATAATAAAATATAAATATTTAATATTATAATATTAACCATTTAATGAATTAAATCTTTTTATTTAAAATAAATTTATATTTAAAATTTTTAATTTAAATTTTTAAAAATATATTTATTTATATTAATAATTTTAAATTTTAAAATATAAATAAAAATCGGATAAAAATATTTAATAATAAAATATAAATATTTAATATTATAATATTAATTATTTAATAATTAAATCTTTTATTTAAATAAATTTATATTTAAAATTTTTAATTTAAATTTTTAAAAATATATTTATTTATATAAATAATTTTAAATTTTAAAAAAAATAAAAAAAAAAATCGGATAAAAATATTTAATAATAAAATATAATTATTTAATAATATAATATTAATTAACTTTTTTTAATAAATTTAAAAAATTTTTAATTTAAATTTTTAAAAATATATTTATTTATATTAATTTTAAAAATATAAATAAAAATCGGATAAAAATATTTAATAATTTTTTAATATTAAATATTAACTATTTAATAATTAAATTTATTTAAATAAAAAAAATTTTTTTTAATTTTTTAAATTTTTAAAATATATTTATTTATATTAATAATTTTAAATTAAAAATATAAATAAAAATCGGATAAAAATATTTAATAATAAAATATAATTATTTAATATTATAATATTAATTATTTAATAATTAAATCTTATTTAAATAAATTTATATTTAAAATTTTTAATTTAAATTTTTAAAAATATATATATTTATATTAATAATTTTAAATAAAAATATAAATAAAAATCGGATAAAAAATATTTAATAATAAAATATAATTATTTAATATTATAATATTAATTATTTAATCATTAAATTTATTTAAATAAATTTATATTTAAAATTTTTTAATTTAAATTTTTTAAAAATATATTTATTTATATTAATAATTTTAAAATTAAAAAATATAAATAAAAATCGGATAAAAAATATTTAATAATAAAATATAATTATTTAATATTATAATATTAACCATTTAATAATTAAATCTTTTTATTTAAATTTATATTTAAAATTTTTTAATTTAAATTTTTTATTTTTGCTTTTTATTTTTATCTTTATTAAATTCAATTTAATTCTTGTCAGAAATTTCAATCTTAAATTCTCCTAAATAAATCTTCTCAATAACAAGCAAATAATCTCGATCCTTATAATCAAAAGATAAAATCTTCGCAATAAAATATATCAAATCTATCCCACTCTCAACATAAAAAACAAGATCTTTCTTCTTTTCTTCAAATATCTTCAAAATTTCTTCTCCAAATTTCTCATTACCAGAATATCCATTCAAAACTAATTCCTTCTTCAATCCACTCAATATCTTCTGTACCTTTTTCTTCACTTTGATTAACTTTAATTGTTGTGAGTGATTCATCTTCTTTTCTTTCTTCTTTAATTTTTTCATTCCATTTGGAAGTTCATTCAAAATTAAACTGTCTTGATTTTCAAAAAACATTCCAAGAATCGAAAAACACAAAATATATACTTTTGGAAACACAATATCTTGCTTTAAATTCTTCTTCTGGATTCGTGAAACCTCTAAACGCATTTGATCAAATACAAATCCTAATTCTTTCAATTGCATTTTTTGTTTTGATTCATATTCTTTGCTAATCTTATTCTCATTCCTGAATAACAACTTCAAATTCGAAAGATACAACAAAACCAAAGTCGTCATTTTATATTCATTTCCTAATAAAAATGGAATACTCAATATTAAAGTAAAAATCCATTGATTCAATTTCACTAAATAATTCAATCCAATTTTTCCATCACTATTTTTTGCAATTTCAATATTTCTCAGAAATTGATACAAAATAACATGAGAACCTCCATAATCATCAATACATCTTTGTATTTCTTCTTTCTCAAGAGGTAATCTCATCATCTCTTGTGTTTTTTCATCTTTCAAAATTGTATTTGCAAGAAGACTATTTGTGCATTTTTCAAGTAGAAATATTTTGGATATATCTGAATTCAAACTTTCATTTATATTTTTTGCAATATAAAAACCCATCAAAGGAAACTCTTCCACAAAATTAAAAGTTAGAACTATCATATTTTTCGAGAGAAAACTCGATTTTGTATTCATTAATGAGAGTGAAAGTTTCATAATATTTTCATTAACATTTCTTGAAATTTGGTATTCTTTAAAAATAAGATGGAGTAGATAATAATAAATTTGAAGAATAAATTTCCAAGAAATTACCCATTGAGCATTTTGATTTATATTTTGATTTTGATTTTGATATAAATTTTGATTTTGATTTTGATTTTCATTTTCATTTTCAATTTGATTTTGATTTAAATTTTGATTTTGATTTTGATTTTGATTTTGATTTAGATTTTCATTTAGATTTTGATTTTGATTTAAATTTTCATTTTGAATTTGATTTAAATTTTCATTTTCATTTTCATTTTCATAATAATTTAAAAATTCTAATCGTTTTTCAATCAAATTTTCTCCCTTTTTCATCATATATCCTCTTGTTAAATTTTCTTGAGAAATCATCTCCAAAATTAACTTGTATATAGTTTCTATTAAAACTTCAAATTTTTTCTGATTAGGAATTTCTAAAACTTTACCAACAACCTCTAAAAGTCTCAATATAAAGATCATTGTAAATTCATCTTTTGAACAAAGAGAAATGTAATTTTTCAAATCATCTTGTAATTCAATATTTTCATCATCAAAATTACTAAAAAAACCATCATTTTTAACATCTTTCAATTGAGGATTCTTGACCCATTTCAGACACAAATTATTTACTTGAATATAATCTTCTTCATTTATATTCTCCCATTTGAACTTCCCAACAAAATCAATCATTTTGCTTTTTATATAGCAATCTTCCTCAAATGTAAGATCATTTGGTATGTTAGTAATTAGTGTTAAAAATAAATGTAATATCGACTCTAAAAATTTATCTTCTCTATAATTACTTCCTATAGCCATTTCTTTAAAATTCATTTCCAAAAACTTATTCCATTGAAATTTTCCAATAACATCAATAATAAAAATTGAGTTATTAAACCCTACATTTTCAGTCAGCCAAGAAATAATTGGTAAATTAACTTCAACTTCTTTGAAAGGAAGATCACTTTTGAAAACATCAAAAAATAAGGATGATAAATATTCTGTTTCCATTTTACAATTTCCCAAAATATGCCCAAAATCAGAAATGAAATATTCTTCATTTCCCCATTGTTTAAATTGCTTGCAAAACGTTTTGATAATAATTTTTGCTTGTAAAATTTCATTTTCATCAAAAGAAAAAGGTAAAAATACATATTTCCCATCTCTTCTAGTTTCAATAAATGGAGCAAATATTTCAAACACTAATTGGTTTTGATATCCATTATTCTTTTTTCCTTTGTTATTCGATGCCTTAAGCAAATTTGATACCA